ATGTGTTCTGGTCAATTTTGGTCCTATTACTGGGCGTCCGTACTGATTTAATCTTCTTCGAGCAGTGCGTTCAGAAATTTGGACAGCTCGAACTTCCTGGAGCTGATGAATCTCTTTAACAAGAGTGAGGTGCCGGTTTCGCAAAATTATCAAAGTAAAAAAACGGTCATCCTGTGGTTCTCTTACCCTAGGGCTTCCATAACCGGGCCTTCTATGGTAGGACACAGTTTCTCGAAAACGTCTAACCTCGCAGTGTTTCGTCGGCAACTCCGATGGCCATAGCCGCATACCTGATGGAACGTCCATCTCAATAAGAGCCAAAGAACACCCAACATCCTCAGCACTTAAGTTTAAAAAATTGAAATTAAGTAAACAAAGATGAAAACTAAACCGTTTATTGCTTCCGAATTCAAATGAGACTGAATAAACATTGAAAAATCCTTTATTCTTGTTTTGGATTAAGGATTAAGTGTGTTTACCTCTAATTGATATTCCCAATTTAAAACATGGCATAAACAAATATTTATTGGTAAAAACAATGAGACAAATTAACTGCAGAATTTTATTATATTTCATTTATCGATAAAATAAATAAAAAATCAATTGGGTGTAATTTTTAGCCTGTCAGTGTATAATTGATTTTGTATCTCTAGTTGTCTGAACCTAGGACAATTTAAATTGTGGAATTTACATAAGGAAAAGACGTTTAGCGTTTTTTGAGTTTACATAGTAGCTGGCTACATTCTATCTATGGGAAATAAATGTTGTATTATTTAAATGTAGGCCAGATAGGCAAAAAAAGCCGACGTGGGAGAACATTTAATCGCATCGAGCGTATTTGTACCGGATGGAAACCACATGTCCGTCTCGTTTTCTCGGCTGATCCTCGTTTATCGACCGCAGGATTGTCTAATAAGACAGGAAACATGCCAGACCGAATCGGCACTTTATGCCTCATGTCGAAAATTAACGAATGACAAATTGGCCAGTTCGAACTGACGTTGAGCGCAATGAATTACGTGTTCTCACCTGTGTTCACGGTACGTAACAAACATTAATTGTTTGATCCATATCTAATGGGGGCCGTACGAAGGTTTTCATTTTCTGTTCTACCTTCACGCTTAGGAACAAACTGAACGTTTTCCCATCTGATAAATATAAAAGACATAAACGGTTTTACGTTTAAATCGCCTCTTAAACGACACGGGCGAAGTTGATTCACGACCTCTCCAGACAAAAAAGCGCGTTATTGAATCTTTCGAACAGTCGACTTGAAACGAACCATAAAACCATAACGACCTTTTACTTTACTAGGTTGTCACAAGAGTCGAGATCCCCTACCGTAATATTATCGACCCTGTGGAATAAGAAAATCCTCTATTCTCCATTGCCCGTTTAAAGTAAACTCTTACTTTACCAACAGGTCCTTGTGCCTATTGACTCATGACATCCATCCATGGTGCTGTGCCAACAAGACCGTGTAGCAAGGCTATGTAGATGTCGAACATTTCGATAGAGACTGGCACCTTGGTTTCCTCTGGACCCTCATGGCATCTACATACTTCCTCATCTTTAAGTATCTGGCCGAAAGGTTCTTTAAAGTATTGGTCGGATCATCTTACTATACTTTGTACTACTGTACTCAAACTGCTGATATCCCTTCCCACCTGGATGCTATGGACGATAACCCTATCATCCTTAATGCAGGAAAAATTTTATGTGACCTCACGCGTTCTTAACTAATCATTTTTAATCTAGCCAACCTAACCCTAACCATACCCAGCCAAACCTTTCTGGTCCTGCACCGTACATAACTTAGCCTAACCAATCCTTAGACCTGACCTTACCTGCCCATTCCGACACTATGGATGATGACTGTATTGTTTGTAATGTACTTCAATGTAATGGACATAAAGTATCTTACTCCGACGTTTTTGTTAAAATATGAAAACATTTATGTAAGCTAACGCGTTCCCAACCCTAACCCTACCGACCCCTAAATGTACATAACTTAGCCTAACCAGTCCTTAGTCTTGACCTAACCCTTACCTGCCCATTCCGACGTCCCTACCATCTTGTACAACTTTGACGTTTATGTTCAAACAAGAAAAAATTTATGTAACCTAACGCGTCCCAAACCATAATCATTCCTAACCTAGCCATTCCAATCCTAAACCCTAACCCTAACTCGTCCCTAATCTAGCCTAACGATTCGTAACCTATCCTAATCCATCTATACTAAATCCCCGACCATGAATTTCAATTTCGGGATCATTCCACTGTTTAACAGTGCCATCGTGTTGTGGACTTCATTGCGTCATCCTTTGAGAAGAAATAATGCTGCTCGGGGGTCTACCTCAATGTTTCTGGTCGTTATAGCTAACCGAACCCTTCGCCCCTATTCCCTTGAACTACAAAAAAATGGCAAATTGAATTAAAAAACTAAAACATCCCAAAGCATATGCTTAGCTTTGCTTTCCTGTCTATTATAACCGCCAAACCCTTCCTACAAAAAGTCGTACTCCGCCATCGTGGGCGACTTTACTCTAGACATGCTACTCACCTGGAATCGTGCTCAAAAAGACAAATCTTTCAAACAATACAGATGATTTAAAAAAATTCTGCTAAATATTATCTTCTCCCTACGTCACATTACTTTTCATCCATATAACCTCACCGCCTCCTACAAAAAGGTCATCCGCCATCTTGGGCTATCTCTAGACAAGCGTCTAACCTGGAATCCTCCTGAAAAGCACAGAATTGAATAAAACATTAGTTATTACTAAAAACCTACAAGACTACATATCTAAACTCTCTCTCTTCATTAATGTAATCATATACAAATCAATGGACATAGCCATAGAACCATGGGGCTCAACCAAACCTTCCTAAGTCCTTCAAAATTCTTTTATGAAAGAACTTGCAAGACGCTCACGTACAATTTTCTATGTAGCTTATTGCTCAGATTATTTCTCAGATTAAAAAAAAAATTTAAAAGGGTTCTGTAATCAGGTCTGGTAAACTCATTTAGTCCTGGATGTGGCAATTTTTAATGTCACAAGCTATAAACAAGTTCATCTTGTCTAAACCCATAGAGATTTTATTGATTGTAAAACTTTTATTACCAATCCATTGAATTATTTATAAAATGTATCTTGCATCGATAAATAAGCCTTACAGGTTTTAAAAAAAAAGTCTTTTAACAACTTTGTCGTTCAGGAATAAAGGAAAACCGTCTTATGATTTATTTATTGTATTTGACGACTTATCCATGAGGGCGTTTGAGAATATGGTCAGTTGACTGTTTTTTTTAAGTCACGAGACAACGGAATGTATGATGATGGCGTTATCTGAGTAAACAAGGACACACCTGAAACGCGACCTTGAAAATCTTTTTGCCTTTTATTAAAAGGAACTTTCGCCGCATTTAATATTCTATAAGTTTTTTTTCTTCTATTTGAACCGTTACAAGACCGCAGTAAAAGGGAGCTCAAGTTGGGATGGATTAAGAATTGAGTTCTTTTGGGGTTGACTGTTTGTATATCTACGTCTGGATAGACCTGGTTCTTAAGAGGTTCGTGGGTAATAGATAAAAAAACAACCACTTCCCAATTTCGAGCTTTAAGGATCCACACGGGCGCTAAGTCTGTTTTCAAGTATCATTTAGGGCTTGACTGGCATCGTCCGTCCACTTTTCAACGAACACCAATCGGGATTTTGTCCATCTCGCCCACAGTTGTAATCATATTTTCATATTGAGGAAATTTACGGCGAACGGATATAAAAACTTGAACGTAATAAGCGAGCATAAAAATAAAGAAGAAAGGGACTTACGAATGGTATCAAACTTTGGTTAAATTTAAGACCAATCTGACATCTTCTTTCTCTCTCTTCCTCTCACCCCTCTCTCTCTCACTCTCTCTCCCCCCCTCTCTCTCTCTCGCTCTCTCTCTCTCTCTCTCTCTCGCTCTCTCTCTCTCTCTACCTCGTATCCCTGTTTTCTGAATTTTCAACCCTTTTCCTATTTCTCTCTATCTACCTATGTTCCTATCTATCCATCGATCTATTTATCTATCCTACTATCTTGGTATCTTTCCTTTTATCTTCGTTTTTTCNTCTCTCTCTCTCTCTCTCTCTCTCTCTCTCTCTCTCTCTCTCTCTCTCTCTCTCTCTCTCTCTCTCTCCCTCCCTCTCCTTTCCTCCCTCACTCCATATATTTATTTTTCTTCTTCATGTGCCGTACTCATCTCTCCTACTTCTCTCTTACTTTCTCTTTCTTTTTTCTCTCTTTCTCCCTTATCGAGCGTATCTCATCTCTATCTGTCTCTCCAAATATTTCTCTCTCTCTCTCTCTCTCCTAGTCTACTAGTCACTCTCTGTTTACCAACATATCACTGTTTCTCTTTCCTTCCCTCCCTTTTTATCTCGCTCTTTGCAAAAAAAATTAATTAAAAAATAATAAGAATATAAATTCGGCAAATCACTTGGGGTGATAACAAAAGGTATGACAGGACTAGAAAACTGATCTTCTTGCGTGGAATTTCAATTTCGTTTGAAAGTTTTCAGTTAAGAACTAAGATATTTCATGTCCAGATTTGCAAAGCACTTTTCATTAACACCTCACTATCTCAGATCCGCTTATCAGTTGTATGTTTTTCTGTTGGTTTGGCAATTTGTTTTGTTGACCTCTTCCTGTTTTGAGAACAAAAAGTATAATGCATAAAGTATTTTCTGATTTCGAGAGTACCGTTAATAATTTATCAGAGGTATTTGTTTTCTTCAATAGGTCGGTTGTTTCTAATAGACATGATCAACGGTATTACATGAATCCGGTTGCAAGCTGACCTTCCGGTCTCATTTTTTTCTTATTCATCTGTCTTTTCACTTTTCATACCTTTACCTATGATTTTTCGTGTTATTCACTATTGAAGGCCGATGATGTATGTATAATTTGTTGAGGTAACAACCCTGATGATTCATTCGTATCTTTTTAATTGCAGGTGAAGACGAGGACAGTCGCCGGAGGCATTGTTGCACTTCCCCGTCCTTGAGGTAAGGCTCTTTTCAAAAACGAACCATTTCATCGCTCTGGTATGCGTGTCATTATTAATCAAAATGTCGATAATATATGACCCAAGACAATTTTTTTTCCCAGTTTGAAATTTGTTCGAAGTGTCGTGAATGGTCCATCTGTTAATCCACCTCAATTTTTAGAACCCCACGGTTTTAAGAACGACACGTGTCTATCGACCGAACGATGATTAATTACTATTCACCGGAAGTGCAGTCCCGTTTATGTCCCAGTCTCAGAACGACGACCTAATTATAAAGTTTTAACCTCTGCCGAATTTAAAGCGAGTTTTTTTTTTCGACATGGACACTTCTTATCAAATTTAGGACTCCTGCTGCTCCGACAACCATGGAAAGGGTAAATCAATAAAATCTCGCCTAAACTCACATCAGGCCTGATGCAAACAAAACTGGGGGAAAGATCGGCCAATTGGACAGAAAGTTACTGACGACTAAGGTTGAGTTAGGTTAATAAGGGTTATCTACTCAGGCGGCACTAAAGGCGACCTCATCGGATGTAAAATCCAATGCTGTTTCGGAGTGCATAAAAGATTGTTAGTCATTAGGTTAAACCATAAAGAAGAGGCGGGTTAAGTTAGGTAAGGTTATTTCCGGACATAAGCACTAAAGGCTACCGCACCGTCGGTAGTAAACACTGCAGTTGGATCGCCAAAAAGTTTGTAAATGGAGCACCAAAACCAAAAATAAGTTATGAGTATTTTGTTGATGTATTAGAAGTAAAGTGCTGTGACCTCACCCTACGAAGGAAGGGGAAAAGTTATAATTGATTTAATATAGGGTGAAGGTGTTTTCTGCTGAAGAATACACACGGAAGGCTTTAACAAAGTGGTGTGATTTGATAAAAGCCTTAAGCATAACGATCAGCTCTTAACAAACGTGGAGATTGCGACATACACCAATATTGGTCGATTTTTTGCGTGACCATTTTCGCGTTACCCGGGTGTTGGTTAAATTTAGGGACGGGTAAGGTTAGGTTAAGTTGGGTTATCTACTCGGACAGCCAGGTGGCGCAACTGTATCGTAGGTAATAAAAATCATAGTTGAGGTTATAATAAATTGATATAATAGTTTAGAGGTAGGGTGAAGGTTATTTTTTTGGAGTTGCTTTTTTTAAACCATCGTTCAAGGGAATATAAATGTCTATATAGTCTAGTAAGTTATAAAGTAGTCGGAGGTTAAGCATAGTGGTGTCGGGGGGGGGGGAAGACAAGGGCTAGTGTATATAAAGTTAGGCTAGGGATGGGTCAGGTTCGGTTAGGTTTGGTTAGGTAGGGCTATCTACTAGAACAGCGAGGCCGAACTAAAGACAACTACATCGTCTGTAGTAACGTCCAAAGCCGTTGGTAGCCGAAATAGCACGAAATGTTTTTGCTGGCATGAATTGGGTTAAGTTAGGTTAGGGATGGTTAGGTTAAGTAGGGTTAGGGTTACGAACAGGTCACGTTAAATAAATGTTTTTTCTTTGTACATGAACTTCTGATCTTTTATCTCAACTTAAAGTTAAACAAATCATTTAATTTAAAATCCAGTGAGCTTACAGAAACGATCAGATTTCAAATTACATTCTGAAAATTATAAGTTGGAAATTTCGATTTATATTTTTTAGATCTTTACAAAGATAACATTTAATTTACGAACATCGCAATATTCCATTATACGCGGTGTGTAATAAAATGTAATGGTTTGTTACCCTAGGGTTGAATAGATTGAGTTCATTTCCGTAAATAGACTAATTAAAGAAAAATTGCTTTCTGGACGTGTCTGATCATTTTTCTGCTCGAGAGCGCGCGCAATCACCACCATGAACTTAAATATTATAAATCGCCTATAAAACAATACTGTCTTTTATTTTGTACTGTCATGTTTATTCGATCAGGAAGTCTCTCTTTTTTGCTTAAATTGTCATACCGGTCGATTTTTCCGTGTCGCCCGCATCAGGTGGAAAATACGCCGGACCTTGACACGGTCGACTTTCAGCTGAGCGCGACAACGGTCTGAAAGATTACCAAGCGTTTCCGTCTTGGGAACGGATTATTTGGGCGGGAGTCGAACCAATTTTGACATTTCGAATCTCTTTGATCGCCCGACAGCCGAAACTACATCCGGAGGAAACCTGGCGCTGTAGTGGATTAAAAAAAGGAGTTTTCGATTTTCCTTTAATACTTCCTGGGACAGATTGAGCGAATTTAGGAACTTTGGGAAGAAAGTGTTAGAATAAACCAGGGAACACTGACACTCAAGAAATATTAAGGGGAGAAGTCTCGAGGTTTAGGGCAAGGTCTTACAGAAAAGAAAATTTAGGCAAAACTTGGGCAGTTGGACTAGGAAGGATCGAAAACAGGATGTTGAACTTTTGGACATGGGATCGGATCACCTTAGACAAAAGAAATGTTGACATAACGATGTAGATAGTGAGGTTAGTTAATTAGTTTTGACAATTCGCCTAAGGAATTTGAATTAAAATTAGATGCTTCGAAAACTCAAGGTGTTTTTGGAAGTCGCTTAATAAAAGACAAAACTGCAACCATCCATGATGGAATGTGTAGGAAAATCACCACTATTAGTATGATGAGACTAAGAATACTCCCTTGCGGGACGCTGTTTTGCATCAGTCTGATATCTGCGTACTCGTTGCAGGACAGATAGGAATCATCATATGCTTGGGAGACGGACCCTCTGAAACCCCTGAGCTACAACCACTCAAGCCACTTCGTCCTCTGGAGCGGAGGAAATGGTGTCAACAAATCTGAATTTTTGATTGTAAAAGCTTGCCGAATGGTTTTATATCATTTTAGGACATCAAAGGATGAAGGGTTATGGGTCTGCAGGAGGATGATATATGGCTGGAAGGTTGGTGAGCTTTTTCCATCAGAATTTATGTGTACCTAGGATGACGTATATTGCTGTTAAATAAACTATGGCCTTCTAAGGAACGTTTAGAAATATAGTTGCGGTTAATGTTAGGTTATATTGTTTATAAGGTTACTTAACTAAGTGCCAGACACTATCAAAATCCTAGGCCCCATCCAAGGACCTAAGAAACCTCTTTTCCTCTAGAGCCAAGGAAATGGTATCAACAACTCTGAAACTTGTCGAATGGTTTTAGACGATTGTAGGGCATCACAAGAAGAAAAGTTTCGGACCTGCAAGAGGATATTTGGTTGGGACGTTGGTGAGCTTTTCCCATCAGAGTTGAAGTGTACCTAGGATGGCATTTATGGTTGTTAAATAAACTATGCTCTTCAGGGAAAGGTTTCGAAGTATAGCTAAGGTTGTTAGAAGGGAGGTTTTGTATGAGGTGCTTAACGAGTTGTCAAACCGTAGGTTACTTCATTAATTAGACACTATTAAAGCTTGTGTAAAAATAAATTTTCTTTGCTATGGCTATAAGCACAGTCAGAATACCTTATTTACTTTCATGAGGTGATAAAGATTTGACACAATGCGACCAAACAGCAAATGAGTAGCAGAGAGGTTATATAAGGGAATGACATTCCTTATTTAACTTGTCTCTGTACCTTACACGCCCAGATATTTTCCTTTAATCCCTCTCGTTTGAATGTAGTGAAAAAACGTGTTTCTACCGCCGTTTCTACGTCACGTTTCGCTTTTTCTTTTCCTTTGGAATTGTGCAATGTGACTTTATCGTCAATAATTGTTTGCTTTCGACATCCGTACAATGACACCCGAAGCTTTTCGCCTGCGTTGCATTTCGTTTTTCATTAAACAAAGGATTATGTGGGTCAATATTGTCACCTAGTACCGACGGATGATTAATTTCGTTTTTCACAGATGAGGTGGGTTAATAACATTCGAGGAGACAAAACAGAATAAGCCATCCGTGGCTACAAATAATTGATGGATCCAGCTCTTCGCAGTTCCATCTGGCTCGTGGAGAAGGTTACTCAAGAGGGAGAACAACAAAGAATGCGACCTTCCGAACTGATCGCCTTTAATTGCATCCCGTCCATTGCTATTCGCTATTTCTACTCAAAACCTACAGGAACTAACATCTCAAAACATCAACTTGACCCGGCTTAATTATTCAATCCACTATTTTGGGCGTAATGTGCATTGACGCGAATTTCACCAAACTTTCGACAGGTAACCGGAATAGTGTGTTAATATGGTTTGAATAACCCTGATGGATATAGGTCAAGGCTCTTTTGTCTACAGACAGATAAATATTGTGAATTGCAAATTAGTGCGTTGACACTGAAAGATATCTGCTTTCTACTTTTTTTATTTATTCTTTTACGAGGTTATATGAACCCTCGTGATTTCGGTGTTTTTGACAAAAAAGCCCATTTGTGAGCACGTCGGGTTCTAATGCAGGACCGCTGGATTCGAACCCGGGACCTTACAGCAGGGTAATTAATAATTACAAAAATAAAGTATAATGAATAAATAAAATTTAAAAACTAACAACAATGAGTATTGAAAACGAAATTTTTAAATTTTTATTTATTTATCCTATGTCTATTTTTGCACACGCAAGTAAAATAGGTAAGGTAATTTAGACGATCGTTTCCTAAACATTTCATTATTGACACTGGATGTGGGCTCGAAATCCGGATCGTTGCAAAACAACTTACTATGAGTAGGAACTATCTTTTTAAAAAGGATTAAATACTGAAGCTGTCTAGATGCTGAAACCGACATCCGCCTCCAGCTACCAAAAATTAAATCCAACATATCCAATTGTGCCTCAACCTCACTCTTCTCATTAATTCTTTAATAAAAGTTAATTATGTCAATATAACGTTTGTTATCTTAGTGATATCCCCTCCATGACCAAATTAGGAATGGACTGACTAATTATTAAAACTTTAATTTACTACATACTATAACTATCAAATTTAAGAGGGGTCCGCCCTGGATTTTGTTCCGTGACAGTGGTCCGCCGGCTAAAAAATTTGGAAAGCTCTGCCTTACAGCGATGAGCGCCGAGTCAACGCCTC